CCACCACCACCACCACAACCTCCACCACCACCACATCACCTCCACCGCCACCACCCCCACACCACCTCCACCACCACCACCGCCACCGCCACCACCACCACCACCACTGCCACCACTTGGGATAATAAGCCACTTGGGCAATAGCTTTTCAATAAGCCACTTGGAAAATGCTGATGATAACAGTATTAAATGTCTTGGAATTTAGGCACTTGAAACTTGGTGGGGAGGCAATGATAGAATACTAACACCTCTTAAAGTTTCATAACTGAGTAGGCAAACTGTGACAATGTATGCTATGATACAAGCAGGAAAAAGAAGCTGATTTGAAGGAAAATGCAAAGCTTAAAGTTCAAAAGACTTTATTATTATTAGATATTGGAGAAAAATGTAATTTTGCAAAGATAATTAATCGGAATCAAACATAATTAATCAGCTCCTAGAAAATCACTCAGGAGCAGTCATGGGAAGAATCTAAAAAACCGGCAGCTAAGCAGAATGTGAAAAACTCTTTTTCAATTTATTTAAAATAAATACAATAAAAATATTCCAATGAAAGTGGGCAATTGAAGTGATAAGTTTGATAAATTAATGCCTCTGTGGTTTTACACATTCTGATACCCATCAAAAATGATTCATTGAGTGATTTCAGTTGTAAATTGCGTCTAATCATGAAACAACTGAATTTTCTCTTTAACAGCAATGTATACATTATGTTTATTTACAATATAATATTTATTCTGGAAATGATATTGGATTTTGTAAAGTAATCATTAACTTTTAGAGATTTAAACTGTACTATTTACAGATGAATTGACAGGATGTTTCAGATTTGCTTCCAAATTACCCAGTGGAATGCAGAAAAGTGGATCAGCATTTAGATGGCATAGGACTGGCCAGGACCAAATAATCCTTTAAGCAGGGTGATAAACACACGAGGTTCCTTATATTATTTATCATTACTTTTGCATGTTTGAAATTTTCCATAATAAAAAGTTTTTGAAAAATACAATTAGATTCCGAGATAAGTTGAAATTGTGGTGGTATTGAGTGTTATCATTTTGAGAGGACTGGTAAAATTCAGAGATAAAATTCATCTCTCTGGTGGGCTGCACAATAAGCCCCTTGAAAAAAAAACAAAGAAATCAAACTCAGGCAGAAACTAAGGGAATTTCAACCTACCCACCTTTATCCTGTGCTCACAGTAAGTTCTAAGATGTGGCTTCTCCCAGGAGTCTTAGTTATACGGTAGTGTGTATATATATATATATACAATGAGTCACATGTTTTCCTAACTCAGCTTAAGTGGTCAGACCAATTTGGGAGAAGTATTGTGTAAGAAGAAACACAGCAATTTTTAAAATACATTATTCAAAAAGAGCTTATTTCCAAGGTTTCCTGTTTTTGTCTGAAGCAATTATATACTTCAGCAGAAGCCTGGGTTCAAGGTTGGTGGGAGTCCTTATTTATCTACACTTTGAAAAAAAAATGCTCAAAATGAAGTGTGTTTTCAGATGAAAAATTCAACAAAATGGTGCTTTCACATTTAATTTGGAAAACCTGGTAATGTAATAAAAGTTATTTCAGGCTGTATGTCAATTTTATGTCTTTTTAAATAGCCAAAAAGATTGAGATTATCTTCCCATGCCGGGAAATGTCAGTATTCAAACAAGACCTTTCTTTCAATTTAAATGAGATTTGTTTTTGTTTGTTGTAGTTTGAGTAAAGCAGAAGTTTCAAAAGACGAAACTGTAAAAGATAAAAACCAAAAAATTAGAGAGGGACTACATCATCAAAGGCTTTAAATGATAAATTTCCATCTATATGTAAAGGAACTTTTAGTTGTACACACAAGGGTGCCCAGCCCCTTTCTAGTATATCTTTTATCTGCAGAAGCCAAGTCAATCTCCTGAAAGAGATTTCCTGCTTTATTCTGTGAATTGGCAGTTATTAACATCCACCCCCACCTGCTGTGGGTAGGTCACGGTCATCTCTGAAGATAACCTAGAAACAGCCTTAACACAGTGACGATGTCTCATGGGCAGGATCTGGAGCCCATGAAAACTATTCTCACCTTGAGATTTCTATTGGAAGTTGGAAGAGATCTGGTCAACTTTGTACAAAATATTAGTTCCCTTCCTTATTCCCCTGGAGGACAAGTATACTTCCTGATTCCACTGACTTTGAGCTTGGCCAGGTATCTTACTTTGGATAACAAAACAGGAGCAGGCATAAGAGCAGAAGGTTTCAATGTGCTGTGTGACCTGGCTTCTCTCCTAAAGCTCTTTGATCTGTTATAGGAAGAACATGTCATGGGCTACTGTTGATCAAGGACAATGTGGAGATCAGAATCCAATCTGAAGCCTGAAGAAAGCCTGAAGCAGAGCTGCTCCAAATGGCCCATAAACGTGTGAGCGAAAAACTATAAAGGCTTGTTGCAAGCCTCTGAATTTAGCAGTGGTGCTATGGTTTAAATATTTTTTGTCCTCTCTAAGGATTTATGTGTTGGAAGCCCAACCTCAACACCATCATGTTGTGAGGTGGGGCCCTTGGGGAGCTGTTTAGGTCAGAGAGCTCCACCCTCATGAATGGATTAATTCCACCATGAAAAGGGCTTGTGGGAATGGGTTGCCTCTCTCTTCTGCTCTTCAGCCCTGTGAGAACATAGCAAGGGATCATCTTGAAACCAGAGACCAAACCTGCAGGCGCCTTGATCTTGGATATCCCAGCCTTCAGAACTGTGAAAAAGAAATTTTTGTTTTTCATAAATTACCCAGTCTCCAGTGATTGACAGCACAGAACAGACTAAGACAGGTGGTTTGTTATGCAGCGTTCCTCCCATAATAGCTGAGTAACAGAAAACATCTGCACACACAGGAACGGAAACATGAGGGCAGATGCATTTCTTAGAAAGAATGCATAAAGCCATGACTCAACCTGTTTATGGCTTGTGGCTTATGGACTGTGGTGGAGTAAATGTGTTCTCCCTACCAAATTCATCTGTTGAAATCCTAGCTCCCTAGATGATGGGATGAGGTGGTGGGGTCTTCAAGAGGGAATTAGGTCATGAGAGAGGAACTCTCCTGGATGGGATTAGTGTCCTTATTAGAGAGAGAGCTCCCTCCATCCCTCCTGCATGTGAGGACCTAACATGATGGCCATAGATGGCCATCTATGAACCAGGATGCAGGCTTTCACCAGACACCAACTCTGCTGGTACCTTGATCTCAGACTCCTTGGCCTCCAGAACTGTAATAAATAAATGTTTGCTGTTTAGACAGCCAAAATGGATGAACACATGGACCTTATTGAAAATCTAAAAAATGTCTTGATCAGGTTCTTCCCAAAATAGCTTCCTTGCATGCACCTGCCTCTTTTCAGGTCTCCATACCATATGAGCCCATCTGATTGGCAGAATCTAAAATATGTCTGGAATTCAAGACACAAGGGAGTTTAGGATATGTAGCCTTTTAGCTTTCCAGCCCCTGAAACTCAGGAGGAGGTTATGATCAACTTGAGTGAACCAAACTATTTTTTCTAGCAAACTGCCAAGGAGGAGGTTAGGGAGGAGAATGAAAAGATGAAGCTGGAGAGAATTAGGAGAAACTGATGTCATATGACAATAAATGATATGAGGAAGAAGCAAATGGTTAATTATTGAAAATAAGTGAGGCAGAGAAACACTATGTAAGAATGTAAAGTACTCCTGAATTGGGCAATAACAATGTCCCTCAACACCAAAACGAGCTGTGTCACTGGTAGAAAGATGAGAAGGAAGAGACAATGACTCCTAGAATACTCTTTCCAGAGCTTGGTTGAGAAAGGAAGGGGAAGGATCTGGTTACCATCCATGAGACCTTGTGTGATAGCGAAATCACTCCTCAGTAAGGGATTGACCAGCTCTGCTGTGGATGGACTAGAAAAGTTTCAATCTCTCTCCTTTTTGTCATTAAAAGAAATCCTCTCCTTGCTTTCTAAGTTAATGGGTCTTCTTCTTGGGTCTTGCAAATCATCTTGTGAGTGAACAAAAGTGACTCTCAGATTTTCTTTGCATCTTGTTGTTGTGGAATTATCCTTGCCCACAGCATAGGAACGTTCCCTGAAGCAGCTGTCTCTGTGCTCCACTTTTCTTCTTGCCTCATGCAGCCTGTATCCCATTATCCCAGGCCAGGCTGTGTCTCTTACTCATCTTATGATACTCACAGTCCTCCACCCCCACAGTTCTCTAAGTCAAACCATACTTGGCTTCATGACTTTGGTAGATCCTGCCAATAATCTTCCAATATCCATCTTCACTTTTTTTTTTTATAAAAGAATCCCTGAGTTTTACATTAGTCCACCTAGACACTAATTTCTTGTCTTCTTAAGCAGCTAGATGTGATTCTGTCTGAAACAAAGGGACTCACTTGTGCCTAAGCTGATGGCTGGCTGGAGAAATCTTGGGAGCCATATATTGAATTAAGTATGATGAAGCTGTCCTACTGACCCAGGCCACTTATTCTGGACTGTTAATGGGAGGGAGATAAATTTGGATTTTAGGTAAGCCATAGTGTCGTTTTCTTTTTTACTTGAAGGGGATCAAGATATGCTACCCCAAAATATGCGACATTAACATAAGGTTTATTTTGACCTGAAAACAACTGAAAATCAACAGATATAGGAAGAGCTCTCTACCCCGCTTTTATCTGTCTAGAGGTTGGGCATAAATTTCCCTTTGTTACGGTGTCTTTCTATATCCTGTGCCAGAAAGAGGAGAGCAACTTGTATCACCAGAAATGAAGAGTTGGCACTAAGATAAATCTGCATAACAGACTTTAGGAAAAGAATCTTTATCTTCCATTAGTTTCCCCAATATATTTCCTAGTTACTTCCCCATGATTTATCATCCTTTGAAGTTCAAACTTTTCTTTGTTACAGTTATATGTAAGATAGAAGTCTAAGTACTTCTAGTAGTTTCACTTCTTTTCTATGAACTCCTATGCATATAAATATTAGTAAAAATCACACTTTTTCTCCCATTAATCTATCTTTCGTTAGTTTAATTCACAGGCGCCCAGACAATGAACCTAAGAGGACAGAGGAAAAGTTGTTTCTCCCTGAAAGACTATACAATGAATAATACAATGGTCACAAGGCACATTACTCTCCTTGATAACAATGGTTGTGTGGTCCAGCTGCCACACAACAGCCAAGGCTGGTTTCACAATGTAATTTCAGGTACAACTTCCATAACTTGTTCTCTGCCTATTAGAAGTCTCCTCTGACTAGAACATCAAAGATGTTTCTCTTCTCTATCTCATAACATTGGGAGAATCTGGGGCAAGAATGAACAGCACCTTGAAGGATGCTCCTGGAAGATTTGTCTTCTTGGAAACAATATACATATTTCCCAGTCAGCTAGCTTGCAACAAATTCAAGCTCTACCACTTAACAGCAAGGCTACTGAACTTTTCTGTGTCTCAGTTATAAAATGGGGTAATAATTCTGCTTGTCTACAAAAGTTGCTATGACAATAGTTTTAAGTGAAATTATTATGCAAGTTTACATTATTACAATGATACAGCTAAATTATCCTGCTTTTGCAAGTTTTAGGACAAAACACGACCATATAAACCAATCCTTGAGCCTCTCCCTGGACCTTGGAAAAGTCTGTGTCATTAGCTTCATAGTAAATCCACTCTGACTACCTCATAGGGCAATTAGAGGATCACACAACATACAGACAGGGCCACTGGAACAAAGGTCACTTTGTGCTTATTACACAAGTGTGACCCCTCCAGATGGACACAGGGCTCAGGGCTTGGACGGCAGAGCAAGGGCTAGATTTTAGCCCTCTCTATTTTTCTTGGTTAGGGGCCTTTGGCATTGGAAAAACTGGAGGTTGCTGATACAGCTGGGAGTTGGTGCACTCCACAAAGGTACTTGGCCAACAGGGTGGAGGTGAGCAGGGACCACATTCAAATCCCCCTTTTCTTGCCACGTTGTGTGTCTCAACATGCAGCTGCATATAACCTAAGAAGAGGGCATGTCTGGCTTCACATGAAGTCTCTGTCTTTCTGCTAAACCCTGTGCCTACTTTTTGCTAATGTGTGCAGAGGTGCCTTAGAACCGGTGGGTGGGCCAGTGCATTACACCGGTGTAGGCAGCAACCCTGATCCCTGGCACACAATAAGCACTTTACAAACGTCAATGTTCCTTTGTTTCCTATCCCACCCCTCATTCTTTCCTATCTATGTAATGCTTTCCT